AACTCACAGAGATCCTCCTGCCTCTGCCTCCCGAGTGCTGGGATTAAAGGCATGCGCCACCACCGCCCGGCTTCTTTTCGTTTTTCGAGACAGGGTTTCCCTGTGAAGCCCTGGCTGTCCTGGAATTCACTCTGTAGGCCAGGCTGACCTGGAACTCAGAGATCCATCCACCTTTCTCTGCCTCTCAAGTGTTGGGATTAAAGGCGTGCGTCACCACCACCCACAGAATGATTTTTCTAACTGTACAGAAACCCACTGAAAAGTAGAGTTTGGCCAGGCGGTGGCGGCGGCTGCGTTGCATGCCTTGGGAGGCAAAGGCAGGCGGATCTCTGTGAGAGTTCAAGGCCAGCCTGGGCTACAAAGCAAGTTCCAGGAAAGGCACAAAGCTACACAGAGAAACCCTGTCTCGAAAAAAAAAAAAAAAAAAAAAAAAAAAAAAAGTAGAGTTTGGGTTTGGCTATTTTCACTGCATAATGATTTTTATCTTAAAGTTCTTTCAATAAAGGGTTTTTTTTTTTTAGTTATATATATTTTTATTTTTTAGATTATAATTACATCATTTCACTTCTTCAGTTTCCTCCCTCCAAACTTTCCTTTGTACCATACCTTGCTTTCTTTCAAATTCACTGGCTCTTTTTTCTTTAACTGTTTGTGTGTGTGTGTGTGTGTGTGTGTTCCTAAATATATAAATACAACCTGCTCAGTCCAGTTACTTATATATGTAATTTCAGAGCTGACCATTTAGAAAGAGAAGAAAAAGACAAGGTTTTACTCTGTAGCCCAAGCCAGCCTGAAGCTTACTACATAACACATGCTACCCTCAAACTCAAACTCCTGTCTCTGCCTGCCACGGACTGAGATTACAAATGTAGGTAATAACCCTGACTATCCATGTTGGGCACCAAATGTAGCCAGAAGTTTCTCCGGTCTTGCCTGGCCCTGCAGTTGGGACAAATCTCTCCCAGGTCCCTCAGCTACTTGGTCCCAAGTAAACACACAGAGGCTTATATTATTTACAAACTGTATGGCCTAATGGCTCAGGCTTCTTGCTAGCTAGCTCTTACATCTTAACTTAACCCATTTCTATTCATCTATAAGTTGCCACGTGGCTTTGTGGCTTACCAGTACTTTCACATCTTGTTTTTCCTGGCAGTGGCTCACAGCATCTGCCACATTCTCCTTTTCTTCTCCTCTTTCTCCAGTTCCAAAGCACTGCCTCCTCACCTTATTCTGCCTCACCATTTGCCAAACAACTTTATTTATGAACCAATCAGAGCAACACATATTCACAGCATACAGAAAGACATCCCACAGCACTTCCCCTTTTCTGTCTAATCAAAAAGAAAGGTAAGTGCTATGGGATGTCCTGCTGTACGCTGTGAATATGTGTTACTCCCATTGGCTAATAAATAAAGCTGCATTGGCCTATGGCAGGGCAGGATGGAGCCAGGCGGGAAAATCCAAGAGAGATAGTGAGAGGAGAAAGGAGAGGAAGGGGCGACACCAAACCGCTGTCAATGGAGCAACATGTAATGGGACGCAGGTAAAGCCACAGAACATGTGGCAATGCATAGATTAATAGTTATGGGTTGAGTTAAGTTATAAAAGCTAGCTAGTAAGAAGCCTAAGCCATGGGCCACATAATTTGCAATTAATATTAAGCCTCTGAGTGATTATTTTATAAGCAGCTGCGGGACTGCAGGGCTGGACGGGACCAGAGAAACACAGGACCAGATAAACTTATGGCTACAATCCACAGCCTGGCTTTCAGTCCAGGAATACTGTTATACCTTTTAGGCTATATGCTAGAAGGAAACCCATTCCCAAAGTCCTTACCTGGGGATAGCTGTTTGCAGGCTCTACTTGGCTGAGCATGGCCAACACAAAGGCAGCTGTTTTACCAGTACCAGACTGAGACTGGGCAATTAAGTTCTGTGGGCTGCACAAAATAAAAAAAGTTTAGGAGCTCCACCACCAGGTAAGTTTTCAAATGGCTAGAGGGTTGGCTTAGTGGTTAAAAGCACTTGTTGCTCTTGCCAAGGACCTGAATTAAAGTCCCAACACAAACATGGTGGTTCACAACTGTCCCACTTCCAGGGTATCTGACACCTTTTTCTGACATCGTCCAGCACCAGGTAAGTAAGTGGCACACACACATTCATGCAGGCAAAACATACATAAAAGAAAAGTTTTTCAAAAATAGAAGTGAATAAAGCTTAAAAATGAGTTTTTAGCCAGGTGGTAGTGGTGCCTGCCTTTAATCCCAGCACTTAGGAAGCAGAAGCAGGTGGATCTCGGGAGGCAGAGCCAGACAGATCTTTGTGAGTTTGAGGCTAGCCTGGTCTGAGTGAGATCCAGGACAGGCACCAAAACTACATAGAGAAACCCTGTCTCAAAAAAACAAAAAAAGGGGAGGGGGAGGGGGGTGAGAGTGGGAGAACAGGGGAATCTGTGGCTATTATGTTGAACTGAATGATGTTGTAAAATAAATTTACTTAAAAAAAAAAAAAAAAGAAAAGAAAAAAGAAAAAAAAAAGTCAAGACTAGGGAAATTCTTCTCATTACAAGAAGAAATAAGAAATTTAGGGAGCCGGGCGGTGGTGGCACACGCCTTTAATCCCAGCACTCGGGAGGCAGAGCCAGGTGGATCTCTGTGAGTTCAAGGCCAGCCTGGGCTACCAAGTG